GGACAGATGGATCCAAGATCCCCTGATCAAATGCCAGAGACATTGGCCTGTTGCTTTTTTATGATCTAAAGTGAACCAAAGGTAAAACTGGGCCTTCATGTAATCTCTTCACAAACTGACAATATGCAGTGGAGCAAGCATAATTGAAAGCAGATGTATCAAGGGCAGTACAGTATAGAGAAAAAGGCTTATTTAATGCAATATTTTGTTCACGTCATAGCTATGTGCAAATACACTTTGAAAGGAAAAGGAAACAATTTAGAATGATTCTTAGAAAAAATGTGTTTCACATTTTGTATCAGTATTTATTGTCATTAGGCTGGACTTCCCAAATGCTACATTTTTGTAGTGTTACTCTACCTGCATTTGGGGTAGTATCCTGCTATATTGAAGAGGTTGTAAAATGGTGATCATGTAAGCATTCCTATCGCTCTGGCACACTCCTCTTTGCATGCTTGTTTGCACACTGCTTGCATGACTGGTTGAGCAACTGGCTGCATGACCAGTCATATAACAGGTGTGTGCCAAAATAAGAAAATATGCAATTGCCTTTACACTCAGAGTAGGATGTTAGCCTTGGTTTCAGCTGCAAATGCTTATAGAACAGCTTTTTCCCATAAGCCTGGTAGCAGGTGTACAGGAAGCCACTGATGTGTCAGTACTAGGGGGAAAAAAGCATGAGAGCTGCCACCTGACAGATGAGATAATTAATTGTACACCAGATGACAATAGTTGAAATTCCCACAGGTGATTTTTTTTGGCACAGCACTAACTCACAAAATTATCAGCCAACTACCTGTAAATAACCGCACCTTCCGTCTCTTGTTCCCCAGCAACTCATACACAAATGCCCTCTAATACAGGAGGTGATATACACCTATTCTGATTGTAATCTGCTCTATTATATCTAATCCTCTTTTACTGATGGCTCCAATCAAAACATCCCATGACAATTAAGTCACACTACAATTTGGTGCTGTAGAATAAAAACTTCATCTTTTCTGAAAATCTTATCCTTAAACTTCATAACCAAGTGGATAACGACAGGTTACCCACCTGTAATTGTAGTTCTTCGAGTGGACCTCTGTGATTCACACTCTGAAAAATATGCCAGATGGGCGGGATATAAATCAATCTGGGCCTGCATGGAGCCTCTTTGAAAAGTTCTAGAGCTTCTGCAGTAGTAAAAAACACATTAGAATAAGGCCCATCTGTGCCTGCGTGGAGCCTCATTGAGAAGTTCTAGAACTTCTGCGGTAGTAAAAAACACATTAGAATAAGGCCTATCCACCCTCATATAAGTACCTTGGCACCAAGGCTCCCCTTTCAGTTCTGTCAACCACCGCTACTTTAAGCACAATGGCGTCACAGTGGGGAGGTCTGGCGGGATGTGTGAATCACAGAGGTAGTCCTCGAAGAACTACGATTACAAGTGGGTAACCTGTCATTCTTTTCGTGGCCTCTGTGAATAACACCCTGGGTGACTAAAAAGCCGTTTTACATGAAGGCAGGGTGTCACACCAAGGTAGAGACTAGAACAGCATGTCCAAAGGCCGCATCAGACTTTTGCTGGGGGTAAAGTCTATAATGCTGGGTGGAAGTGGACGGCTGTGCCCAGGTGGCAGAGGCACAGACATCTGGAAGAGGTACGCCACATAGGAATGCCGTAGAGGTCGCCACTGCTCTGGTGGAGTGAGGACGAATCACCTTCGGAACTGGTCTGCATGTCAGCTGATATGCGAGGTGAATGGTTGAAGCTACCCATCTAGATATAGGTTGAGATGTCACTTGGCGACCTTTGGTAGGTGGTTGGTGACTTATGAAAAGTCGAAGTGAACACCTGAAAGGTTGGGTGCGTTGGACATAAAAGGCAAGGGTTTGCCTAATGTCTAAAGTATGGAGGATTCTTTCTTGAGTTGTGGATGGTGACGGGAAGAAGGAAGGAAAGATAAATGGCTGAGAGAGATGGAATTGAGATATGACTTTGGGGAGGAAAGAAATATCCATGGATAGTTTGACTTTGTCCAGAAAAAAAAAACCTGTAAATAAGGATAGTCGTGACATAAGGCCACTAAATCACTAGCTCATCGAACTGAGGTGATGGCGGCGAGGAAAACTGTTTTAAAGGTAAGCAGCCATAACTCCATTGAAGCTAAAGGTTTGAAAGGAACTTTAGTAAGTTGTTGCAGTACTAGTGTTAGTGACCATTGCAGGGAAGGTGGGCAGGTATCTGGGTAGATATGAGACAGACCTTTAAGAAAACGTTTCAATGTTGGATGCTTGAAGAAATCAGTTGCCAGAGAGTTAGGGGGCTGATAAGAAACTATGGCGGAGAGGTAAACTCTCAAGGAAGAGAGGGAAAGGCCGCTAGACTTGAGATGAATCAAAAAACGTAGAACAGTAGCAAGTGATGGGTTGATAGAAGGCAATGCAGAAGCTTCAGTGAAAGATTTGACAAAGGTTGACATATTGTTCCAAAGGAAACACTGATATGCACCCATAGCTCCCTGGTAGGTAGCGACACGCATGGTGAACGCTGCTGATGAATAAAACCATCTTCCCATTGAGTCAATCCTTCTGCTGTCTTTATTTGGTGGTATGAGGATTTGTCGATGTCGAGATCTGGACTGTGAGGCTTCGACAAAAATAGAGTTTGGAGCTGGTTGTTTTTGAAGAAATAGAGTTCCAGGGTCATGGACTCTGTAGAGGTTATCGATTCATTTAGACATGGTATGGGAAGAGCCTGGTTTTGTCCAGGATCGTTGAGCAGTGCTGAGTAGAGACAAAAGCATTGAGATGTGTACAGAAATAGTTGTATCTTTAGAGACTGGGTCATATAGATGAACGGCCGGTTCTGTCGAAGGATGGTGGATTTGGAGATTGAGAGACTTAGCCATATGGATCATAAGTTGGGCGTAAGTTTGGAAGTCTTCCGCCAGTGATGGTGGGTCGGCATCAACAAGGTCAGATTCCGGTGAGGTAAGTAATACTAACAGCGTCTGAGGTCTGGATCTGTGATCGGAATAATCAGGATCGCGTTGGGAGTTGACTTCAGCATTGATAGTCTGAATGTCGTAGTACTGATGTTTGTGGCTCGATGTTGATGGAGGCGGCATGTCCATGGGCATTTGTCGGTGTCGAGTATTTTTGATACTGAGAGATGTCATCCGAGTGTCCATGGACATCGTTTGATATGGTTGAACATCGGTGTCTAACTTGCGTTCATAGTGATATCAAGTTCAATGGCTTCCTTCTATCAGGTGATGGAAACTGTGCATCAATAGAGGGACAAAACGAGTGTCCATGGACCAGGATGGATAGCAAAGATCATCGATATCAGAGCTTGTGTCTTGGTGATGTTGAAACGGAGGTTGTTGATGAGCTGGTAAAGCAGTGAAGTATATAGAAGCTGGAGATGTCGAGTGAGAGGAATGATTTTCCTCATCTGTATTAGCGGCAAAATATCAGGAGGCTGGAGCTGTAAAAGCCTCGCGTGTAGAAGAAAACTGCTCGACCGTCCTGGGTCTTTTAGGTGACAGGTAGGGAGCAGGTTGGAATTGATGTGGGTCACGGTGATATGGTTTTGACATCGATGGTTGTTGAGATCGAGGCCCGTCATGAGAAGGTATGGCCGAGCTGGATAGAGCAACTGGCTGATTGGTGGTTGCAGTTTGTCCGGTTGAGCACTGGTCGGGGCAAATGGCATCCCGGTGAGAGTGCTGAACACGGCGGGTCTGAGCCAAGCGTGATGACATAGACGACTCCAGGGACTGTTGGGGCCCATGTCTCTGAGGAGGTTGTAGTGGACGATCAGATGTTACTGAATAAGGTATGGTCTCTAGTTGTTGTTTGGAGTCGACCCTGTCAGGTGAAACAACTATGAAAGGGTTGCTTGAAAGAACAGTGTTGAGGACTGGGAGGAAAAGATGTTTATCGATTGACTGTCATCCCATTCTGGTGATTGGAAGCAGGGTTGATGAGAGGGGCTTCCGTCATCATCAGAAGACAAACCAATAGAGATTGATTCGGCAATTTGTTGAGGCTGCTGAGAAATGACTGCAG